AAACTGTACATAGCAGAAATACAAATACTTAAAAGTTATTGAAAAAGAGAAAAATGTAATATAAGAAAAATAATCCATGTTCATCATCATCAAATTTATCAGAAACACAATAGGCCTATAAACTAATAAAACACATAAGAGATTACATGGGCACAGGCCATTTTAATTCCCATTTAGTTTGTCCAAGTGCTCGTGTAATCTATCATTAAATGGTAATCAAGTAACAGGAATAGCATTCATGCTCACTGAACGTCACAACGCAGGGACGATGATTCAAACAACACGCGACTACGCCGTTTACGGAATCGCAGAGTCCGTAGCAACTCCATAGCGTCGATTAAAACGTTACAGTTCTACATTTTTCTGGCGTGATCTGAAAAATGACTTATTAGTTAGTAAGTAAACTAATAAGATACAGACTATAAGCATGAACTGGCGGAAGATTGTGAAAGGGCACTTTTCTCGCTAGAAATAATGTAATTAGACGTGTAATCTATCATCAAATAGTAATATCAGATAACAGGAATAGCATTCACGCTAACTGAACATCACAACGCAGGGACGATGATTCAAACAACACGCAACTACGCCGTTTCCAGGATCGCAGAGTCCGTAGCAACTCCCTAGCGACGATTAAAACGTTACAGTTCTACAATTTTCTGGCATGATCCAAAAAAACATCCGCGATAACTAATAAGATACAGTCCATAAGCATGAACTGGTGAAAGATTGTGAAAGTAAAGGGCACATTTCTACTATTTCAACTATGTTGGAAAATGACATTTTTATATGAAAATGCAAGGAATGTCGGCCATGTTTTCATTTTCGAAAACGGGAACCTGAGAGTCACATGACGTGAGCACAGGCCAATGCAAATCTATGGGAAGACAAAAACGTAGACATCTCACAATTTGACAGGCCAAATTGTGAGATGTCTACGTTTTTCCTAGTGGGCCAACGTAGCTATTACACGTTTTCAGATGAGACTGGGTTGTTCTATGACTGACACAGAAACTAGACAGATACCTTTTTTTCTTTTTTACCGTTAACTAACAAATGTCCTGAGTGTTGCTATGCACTTGGCAGATGTAACCTCAGAGTTCATGTCCTCCTTACTTGATGATGATCATCTTGTTGCCCATGATCTGTGTAGCTAGCAAACCTCTTCTTTCACATAGGGCAGACAGCTTCCTGTTTTAACCACAATGGCTTCAGTTTTCATGCTATTACTCAGAAACGGTTACCTCTCTTCTCACTTTTGTTTCCTGTTTACCTGACTGTATCAAAATCTTCTTCTTTCACTATTCAAGGTGTTCCATTGTGAGCATTCATGCTGAGTGTGAAACCCTCTGCAGAGCTCTATTAAAGACCCAAAGATAACTCCGGTCTGAGAAACTCTTTATTTCACATCTCAAGATAAATTTCCAGCACACTGGGATTGAGGCATTAAACTTGGTGGCACTTCTCTAAGCACGCTGTTGGATAATAGCAAATCCATCATGCATGTGGGTTCCCTTATGTATGCCTGCTAAACTGATAGGCTTTCACAGGAAGTTCCCCCAGACCACAGATTACCAATGCAAGCCTGGAAACATATCTGCTGAATTGGTGGGATCTAAATATATTTTATTATTATATTAGCAGTTCAAAGGGAAAGGAAATGTGGACATAACAATCGATTGTATACCAGGTACCATTGGATTTAAATCACAATATCCTTTTTAAACCCTGTGATCGGGCCCAGTGGAAGGGTGCACAAATACATCTCTGAATTTGCACACTTGCCTTCTTGCTGCTGTGGAGCCCTACAACCAACACACATTGATTTTCATTTATGCTTCATGTAAATCGAATGTTTTTTTCCTATTCTTTAATTGAGATGTTCACAGGAAGCCTCTGTGAAAAAGAAATTCCGTTCTGAATCCACCCAGGTCTATTCCCTCATGGAGACATCTGCTGCGCTGAGAACACCGATCTTTGTCTTCATGTGGTTCTCACACCTTCCTTTGCCGTTCCCCTTCTGCCCAACCCCCCTCAACCCCCTCCTCATTTCAGGGAGCCCTGCATTGTTGTACGTATCGGACCGTACCATCTTGCAGCAGAGATCGGGGGTGTATTGATGAGTCCGGCAGTTCAGCGCAGTAGCATCCCCAGTCTGTCTGTCTGTCTGTCTGTCTGACCATGCACCTGAGGTCCGGCCCGCAGCACACCCGCGTTCTGCTCACAGGCTGCTTCTGGAGGTTGTCGGTTGAACCCCGCTGGAGTGCCGCTGGGCAGGTTGAAAAGAGAGAGAAGAGAGGAGACAATACGCGCATGGCAGACATTGCTCTTTGCTTTGGCCGCTGATAAAGAAAGCAGCGTCTCGCCTGTGTGTGTCCAGGACAACAGACCGTCTCTGTCCGCCCCGTCGACCCTGAGCCTTTTCTCCGAAGATGTCTCTTGTGACCGCGCTGTGGCTGCTGCCTGTGTTGTGTAGCATCATCAACACCTCCAGTGCTACGTCCTCAGTGTCCCGTAAGTAGGCTAATAAACACACACACACACACACACACACACATAGAGAGAGGGAATAGCATACATAATATGTGTATACAGCTGTAATAGCATCTCCTTCATCATTACTCTGTGAATATATCCAGAAGCAGAAGAGGCCTCTTACTTTGTGAATGGTTGATAACACTGCAGTTCAGTTGTAGATGTGTGTTGATAACACATTCTACCTGGTAACACAGTGGTTGAACCAAATGGACCTTGAGTTGACAGGATTTTCTAAACACTATAGAATAAACATAATGAATAATGATAAATCGTGTGGCTGAAAATTAAATACTGTGGTTTCACCTCTAACAAACACGTATTTGAAGTAACAGCTTAAGGTTAGAAGGTTGGCATCAGTTTCACTGCAGTGGACACACTCTGGATGTATTTACTGTAGCATAGCACAAAGATCACAAACTGTCCAACCACTGCACAGTTCTTTTTTATACCTCTGTATCTAACAGATGTTCATTAGAAATAGAAAACACGGCTGTGTTTCAGTTAGTGTTGGAGTAGACAGCAGAAAATAGTGCCAACATGCAGCATTTTTCATTGCCTCACTGAGGTGTTTCCCCACCTATCTCTGTTCTATTCTGATGGTCTCTGATTATTTTATGTCAGAAAGACAACTTTGGAATAGTTGTAGGGCACGGTGTCTTCCTTGGTCTGGTATCTTGCTATGTTCTTGTTTTCAGTTTTGTGCTTATAAAACTGTTAAAAAAAGACTTCAACATATGACTTTGGTGGAAAGGTTGGCATATTGATACAATTAAGTATAAAACATTTTGGTCAGAGGCAGCAAAGAAATTAAGTCACTTCCAAAACGTTGGAATTTATAAAAACATACTTGACAGGAGAATGTGCGCACTTCCATGCTAACTCTGACCCATGCATACAAACATTTTAGAGATGGGAAAATGATGATGCAGACGTGAGGTGGTGAACTGAAGCAGATTATTGATCCTCTTTGTCATTAACATTAAAACCAACAGCGTTAGTTGTGCTCACGCAACATAACTGTTGTATACGAACCTTCAATTGAAAAAGATATAAAACAACTTACAGCAAATTATTTTCAGATTCCATTAAACAGCAGAGTTACAGAGCCGAGTCATATATAGTTTTTAATATTATCTTCTTACACGGTGCGTATATCATCATGTAGACGTGCAGTAGACATGACTGTGCTATGAGGCGCACAGAGCGCACTGAAGATCACTCACAACAATAAATAAAAACTATTCCCTTTCAAACTTCTATTTCACAGTAATATCCTCGAGTGGAGGTTAGGACTGATGTGTGAAGTAATCGGTCTGATTGCTCTAAATCTATGAATACTGCAGTGACAATTGTGCGTAGGCTGCGTGATGGATGCACGCGAATGGATGCTAGACTGAGTCCAGTTTTACACAGATCGACTGACGGAACCAAACTATCCCAGTACAAACACAAGCATATACAAATAATTATGTTACATTTATGGATTGGGGACTTCACAGCTGTCTATGAATTAAATAATCCTGCAGTTTTGAATGATTAAAATAAATCCAGAATATAAAAAGTGTTCCCTCACATTCAGACAGTGTGAAGCCATTCTTTTTTTGCCTCCACCTTTAACTTTGATTTTTTTATCCTCACGCTCACTCACTGTATTAACAGCAGCAGCAGTGTATCAGTGTATTTTCTTTATTAGTGACATCACTGCTGTCCCATAAAATCTCTCTTCACCTCCACCTCACTCACAAACACCTTGATGTCAGTGTCAGAGAGTCTTGCTTCCTCTTCTCATCGCTTGATGTCATGACTCTGTGGAAACCCATTGGTCAGCATGATCATTTAATATTCATGAGGTGCTTTGCATTGACCATTTATGGTTGAATGTGGGCGTGTAGAGGACGGAATATGAGGCAGATTCACTTAGGAACGTTTCCAGGTGGACTGTGATTTATAAAGTGAATATTTCATTCAGGTGAGTGTGCGCAGGGTTTTAAAAATCAGAATTTATTTTGCGTATGACATTTTCGGCTTTTGTGCTCACGTACACTTTTATTATGAATCCTACGCACTGTTTTATAAATGAGGCACCTGGTCTGTTTCTTTCACTTTGGAATTAATTATTTAATTCAGCTAGGTTTTTGAATACTATCATTCAGCCATTGCTGAATTGTTAAAGGGATAGAATCAGAATCAGAATCAGAATCGCTTTTATTGCCAGGTATGTGAACACACACGAGGAATTTGACTCCGGTTTTCCTTTGTTCTCTTAGTACGACAGTTTAAAAAAACAACAAACAAACATAGAGATGAACAAGGACAAAAGACAATAACAAAAGCTATATACATGTACAAAAAAGCTAAATAGTTGTTGCAAATGGTGCATAGTGCAAGGATGAAGTAATAAATATGCATATACAGTGGTACAGTATATTGGTATGTACAGATTTTACAGGTGATGTTACTGATATTTGAGTCCGGTTTTAGCTATTTGACACAGAGACAGCCTGAGGGGAAAAAAAATGGGATGTTTTGGCGTATAGTGTTGTGTAGCGTCTACCGGGGGGGAGAAGTTTAAACAGTTTGTATCCAGTTTGTGATGGGTCTGCAGAGATGTTACGTGCCCGTTTCCTGACTCTGGTCAGGTACAGGTCCTGGATGGAGGGCAGGCTGACACCAATAATTTTCTCTGCAGTCCTTATTGTCAGTTGCAGTCTGTTCTTTTCTGGTTTTGTGGCCGATCCAAACCAAACAGTGATTGAGGAGCAGAGAACAGACTGAATGATGCAGAGTAGAATTGTGACAGCAGCTCCTAAGGGAGGTTGAGGTCTTGAGCTGGCGCAGGAAGAACAACCTCTGCTGGGCCTTTGATAATGGTGACTGTGTTGGCCTCCCACTTCAGGTCCTGGGAGATTGTGGAGCCCAGAAACTTGAGGTTTTCAACAGCAGTCACAGAGTTGTTGGTAATGGTGATGGGCGGCAGAGTGGGGGGGCGTCTCCTAATGTCCACTGTCATCTCCACAGTTTTGAGGGTGTTCAGCTCCAGATTGTTCTGACCACACCAGCGGACCAGCCGTTCAACCTCCCGTCTGTAAGCAGACTCGTCACCGTCCTGGATGAGGCCGATGATCGTTGTGTCGTCTGCAAATTTCAGGAGTTTAACAGATGGGTCTTTAGAGGTGCAGTCGTTGGTGTAAAGGCAGGAGAGCAGTGGGGAGAGCACACACCCCTGGGGGGCGCCAGTGCTGATAGTCCGGGTGCTGGATATGATGCTCCCCATCCTCATCTGCTGCTTCCTGTCTGTCAGGAAGTTTGTAATCCACTGACAGGTGGAGGAGGGCACAGTGAGCTGGGTGAGCTTAGTGTGGAGAATGTCTGGAACAATGTTATTGAACGCCGAACTGAAGTCCACAGGATCCTGGCGTACGTCCCTGCAGAGTCGAGGTGTTGCAGGATGTAGTGCAGTCCCATGTTGACAGCATCATCCGCTGACCTGTTTGCCCAGTAGGCAAACTGCAGGGGGTCCAGCAGGGGTTCTGTGATGTCCTTCAGGTGCGACAATACCAGCCTCTTGAAGGACTTCATGACTAAAGACGTGAGGGCGACAGGCCTGAAGTCATTTAGTCCTGTGATGGTGGGTTCCTGGGGGATTGGGATTATTGTGGAGAGTCAGCCAGTTCATGGTTCACTGCAGTGTTGGGGGATGGTCTCCTGTAGTTTGTGATGTTCTGCAGGCCTCTCCACACTGACGCTGGATCGTTGTCTGATTCTGATCTTTCCAGCGTAGCTCCTCTTAGCTGCTTTCACCTCGGTCGTCAGCGTGTTTCTGGCCTGGTTGTACAGATATTTCATTGAAACAGGAAAATTCACTCATGGAGGGGTGGGTGAAGTGTTTGAGTCCACCTTTGGAGTTTCAGGGGTAAACAGTGTTGCAGCCAAATCAATACAATTGAAGTGACAGAATAGGTGACTGTAACAGAGGTCTCTGTTAGCCGTGGGTCACTCGTCAGTGACACACAGGATCGCCAGGTACCTTTCTTATCTTTATTTTTGTTTTTACAGACACACACATACATGCATGCTGGTCCTATGGTCAGCAGTTGTCTCACAGCCTTCTGAACTCCTGTTTCCCAGGCAGCAGGCTACTGCTGATAAAGAATTAACCCCAAGGAACATCCGTGCATAGTCAGACCCTTTTCCCTGGCACTGATCCCATAACCACATCCCCACTCTGTCCCTCCTGCAGCCGACGCTGATGATACCGCACTACCACATATCTCCACAGCCTGACTTAGGCCGGGGAGCCGTCTGGCATAACCTACTACTCCCCCATCTGAACTGGAGAGGAAGTCAGCCACAGCCATCTGTGCCCCCCGGCCTATGGCTCACCTTGAATTTGAAGGGCTGTAATGCCAAATACCAATATGCATTGGTATCTTTTATGTGGTGGAGCCACTGGTCTGAACAGAGGCTGAATGGGCGTCCCAGGAGGTAATAACGTAGAGTGTCGACCGCCCACCAGATTGCCAGGCACTCCTTTTCTACCGTGCTGTACTTGGCCTCCCTCTCGGACAATTTCTGGGTGATGTACAGTACCAGGTGGTCGACGCCCCTTACCTTAGTCTGCAAGATAAAAGGGAGAGAAAAGTTAGGTGTGTCAGGGTTTTCCGCAGCGCTTTATAGTTAAGGCGGCCGTCTTGACAACAACGGCCCCCCGCCTTGACTACGTCCCCCCGAAAATAAATAAATAAATAAATATTCCGCATCCCCGCATGCATAGACAGTAGGTTAAAATAAGGCTGCATCGCAATGAGGCGGAATAGCGGCATCTGTAGGTTAAATATGTTAAGCCATCTATCATCTGCTGTAACTGCGTGGCAAGGCCAACATTTCTTTTTTATCACCTTGACTGACTAATTCTCTGCGGGAAACACTGTGTGTGTGGAGACGTGGTTTCCACAGAGGACCTGTTTCAATCAATC